TCTTGTTCTTGATCAATGGCTTCAAGCTTGCTTAAATACACCTTGAATCACTTCTGAACGTTGGGATCATTAATGAAGATAATATAGCCGTTTTAGTGTGAAATCAATTAATAAAACAGTTTGGAGCGTGGGGGAATCGGTACCCCTTAAGGGGAATCGGTTCCCTAAGTGTAAAATTTAAATATTTCGACCGTTAAACAGGGAGGAATCGGTTCCCTCCGAGCATACTGGAATTTCTCGGAGCCAAACCATTCAGGGGGGAATCAGTACCCCCTTGGGGGGGGGATCGGTTCCCTCTGAGCAATCTGGAATTTTTGGCTTTGAGATGGTTCGAAATATTTTGTAAAATCGTTTTAAAATTATTTTAAGATTAAAACTTAATTTTACACTTGAGTAAGGATTAAAAATGACATTTGAAATATTTGGAGTAATATTTTGATATTCAAATAATTATATCGAATATACTTAGAAAATATTTTTGGAAAATCTTAAAATTCATTTAACTTAATTTTTTATATCGAAATATCAAAATGTTTTCAACAGGTCCCCATACATCAGTATGAACCAACTCTAATTTTTTAGCCTTGGGTGTCTTACCAATCTTTGCAAAGCTGACTTTCTTTTGTTTGTCAAATATGCATTCCTCGCATAGTCCGACATCTACACTCTTTAGATCCGGCAGCTTCCCTTTTGATAAAAGTGTCTTCATCCCTTTCTTGCTCATATGACCAAGCCCTTGGTGCCATAGATTTGATTTTCCATCAGCATATGCTACTGTAATGATATTCTCTAAATTTGAGGTTACATAGAGAGTACCAGTCTTCTTACCACGAGCTATGACGAGTGCTCCTTTGGTAATCTTCCATTCACAACCTGAAAAGGTTGTGTTATATCCTTCTCCATCAAGTTGTCCTACATAAATCAAATTTTTTTTGAGGCCAGGAATGTGTCTCACTCCTTTCAGCGTCCAGGTGGTCTGGTTTGGCAACTTTAATCGGATGTCTCCTTTTCCAACAATCTTCAAGGTTTCATCATCAGCTAGATGAACCTACCGAAAATCACCACTGACATAGTTCTCCATGATTTCTCGGCATGGGGTGGAGTGGAAAGATGCCCCTGAATCCAAGATCCACGATTCAATCAGACTGTTGACGCTTAGAATCATGTCATCACATGTCTCCTTTGTCATGTTGGCAGATCCCTGTGCGCCGGTATCTTTCTTCAGTGCTCGACAATCTCTTTTAAAGTGACCCTTCTTGCCACAATTATAACAGGTATAATCTTTCTTTCTCGTTCTCGATTTTCCCCTTATGTTTTTGGATCTACCACGATTTGAATTTCTTTTCAAAGTTCTGCCTCTAGACTCCGTGTGCAAGGCTAGGAGGTTGATGCTTCACCTGATTCTCTCCGTCGAATTTCTTCGCTCAATACCAGATCTCGAACATCATCAAATTTTAATTTGTTGTTTCCCGACGAGCTGCTGACTGCTGTAACAGTAGCATTCCATCTATCTGGTAGACATGATAAGAGAATTAAAGCTCGAACTTCATCATCGAATTCAATTTCCACTGAACTCAATTGAGTTGTGATTGTGTTGAGTTCATTTAGGTGTTGTGCCACTGATGCCCCTTCCGCCATCCGCAAATTGAATAATCGCCTCATCAAGTGAACTTTGTTTGAGGCCGATGGCTTCTCATACATACTGGAGAGAGCCGTCATAAGACTCGTCGTGGTCTTTTTCTTTGCTATGTTGAAAGCAACATTGCGGGATAATGTCAGTCGGATAACTCTGAGGGCTTGTCTATCGAGAAGAGCCCGGTCTTCTTTCTTCATGCTCTCTGGTTGCTTTCCTAAGAGAGGTTGATATAGATTTTTCTGATACAAAAAATCTTCAATCTGCATCTTCCAAAAGCCAAAGTTCGCAGCATCAAACTTTCAATTTTCACATTCCCTTCGTTTGCAGCCATCGCTCCCACTCGAATCTGGCTTCGTTTGGATCATTTCTGATAATTCTTGCGAACCACCGTGTATTAGAACACCTCCGTTGAAAAATTCGTATCGCCGACAAAATTTAACTATTCACGAAATTTACTATTCACATGAATAGTAACCTCTCAAAAATTTGACAAAATTCACAACCAAAAGCTCTGATTACCAATTGTTGGGAAATAAACGAGTAATAAGTAATTTCCCTATAACCAGATTATTGAGAATGCGAAATAAAAACGGAAAAATAATACCCGAAAAATTGATAACGGAGTTCAGCCAATTGTGCCTACGTCTCCGGACTGCTGCAGATCTTTTACTAAGAGAGAAATTTTACAGGTGTTTACAAAACACTCACTACTCACAAGAAAACTCTCTAGTATTGGGAGAAAGAAATGATTTGGGATTTTGGGATGATTTTGAAGCTAAATGAGCTAGGGTATTTATAGTTGAAACTTAGGGACTAATATTGTAATTAACCCTATTTATATTTTAATTAAAAATTGGGTCATCGATTCGATGCCCCCCTTTATTGAAAAACCCATGCATCTGTGCCCCCATTTCTTCTGCGAGCAAAACCCACCGAAAAAATGCCAACTTCTTTTAACTTTTCTCCAACATCGATGACCTCATCATCGTACCGACAAACAGTGCCTCATCGATAGTCTCACCTCCAAATAACAACTCCCATCCTGCCTTCACCATCGACAACCTCACCCACAAATCATTTCTTCTTACCTTGATCCTTAATCTTTATATTCAAAATGTAAAAATGCATAATTTGACATTCCATATTCAGCCTCTCTATGAAATCATACGATTTGAGAGGCGTGTTGTTACTGGAATGCATCAGGGTCTCGTCTAGACCAAGAACGATGGTTCTTTTCGTCTCCAAGATTGATAATAGAATAATCGAATTGCTTTTAATTCTATGCTCTTTTTTAAGGATTTTAAACCTCTAAAGGCTCTATTTGATGGTCGAAGGAGTTGCTATGTAGATTAACTTCAGAAAATTATTAATAAAATAAGTTAAAATAGTTAAAATAGGAATAATTTAAAAGTTGAATAATTAAATTAAAATTTTAAAATTTTAATGATCAAAATAAAAATAAGAAGATAATTGAATGATGTAAGTGATCCTCTTTTTTAACCTCATTTTATTTTTCTTGGGAAAAAACATGAAAATGTTGGGTTGTTTTTCGGCTTCATTGTTGGTTGGGGGATGGGGGTTTAAAAGCGGGGCAATGTTGATGTTAAGTTAAAGCTTATGTGCAGAATAAAGACATTTGATTGGAAAGACCAACTACAAAAGTTGAGCTGTGGGTTGTGTCGGCTCCATCAAAATCATATAAGCATCCCTGGTTTAAGAATATAATTACACTAAATGGGAAAAGTTCAGTACTAATTACTACGTGATTAACCTTTATCTCAGCAGGTGGTCGCTTTTAATCCCTGATGTGATTGTGTGCTTTGAAACGAGTTCCACAACACTATCTTATATGCAGGAGCTTATCGAGTACGGTGAAACTTCCCCACTGGTTTCTCAAAGAGGAGCTTAAAGATGAAAAGTGGTATTTCCAAAGCTAATATGGCAGAGACAGAAAAACAGTAAGGTAAGACGATTTTCCCTTAAAAGCATACTAACAACAACGAAATATTATTTATCATATATATATATATATATATATATATATATATATATATATTATTGATTTAATATTTTTTTTAATAAAACACAGATCATGAAATATATCATTACAGGGTTTTGTTTGAACTTACGTCACGGTAAAAGATGCAAATCATGAAACATGCATTCGTGGAGTTTTGTCAAAGTTGACACTACGTTGAAAGACACATATCATTAATCGCGCTTTCACGGGTTCCATTCGAGTCGGCAAAATGATTTGCGTCTTTCATTTAAATCCAATAATCCATCATAAATATCGTCGGTTAGTCTCCCCCTCCCCCTCTTCTATAAATACCTCTCCCTTTCAACACTCTCACTACAACAAAAAATATTATATTTCTTGCTTCTATCTATTTTTCTATCAAGTTTTAAGAATATATAATTATCATTTTTAGAAGTTAAATTTTTTATTATATTATAATTATTTAATAGTTTATTATTTTATTATATATATATTTTTTTACAGTTATAAAATGACATGTGGGTTATTGTGTTTATATGAGAATCGTATATGGAGTCATTTTATTGATACGACAATAATTTTAAATTATGTTATTTTAATTATTATGAATGTTTTATTTAATAATTTTTAGTATTAATTTATATTTTAATTTTTATACTATTTATTTAATTAAGTGAAAGATCATATATTAGATTTATTTATTCGTAACGTTAAGTTAGAGATACCAAATCGTGTCTGGTCATATTTAGCCGCGAATAAATTCGGTGACATAACGATATATGAAGGACATTGTAACCTTAAACTCAACCTTATTTATGTAAAGTAGAGACTAGAAACACACATATTCAATCTTCTATGTGAGGAGTAAACTATTACGTTGAAAGATGTTTTTATATATTTAAACCTTTTAATATATAATATATTATTTTTAGTGTGACAAATGATAATTAATATTTTTTATATAAATATTATCTTAAAATTATCTCGTCTACAATGGTCATAATCTATACTTTATAAAAAAATGATAATTCTAGAATATTTGAAGAAAAAATATCTTACATATAATAAGTAAAAACGTCTAATAATAAGCTTCTCACCTTTCTCTCTCATCAATATTTTTATTATTACTACTTTTTTTAATGATTTATTTGGGGTTTCTTGCTTTCTTTTTCTTTTTTGTGCTAACTGTCTTGTCCGAGCCTTTCTTTTTCAAGTGCCCCAGGGGTTGTCCACTGGTCATAAGCAGCTTTGAAGGTTTGATGTCAGAATATAGCCTAGCCTCGTCTCTTTTTTCTATTCTCTATCTGCCAAAACTTTCTCTTCATGTACCCAACAACAAAGTTGTCTATTAAAGACCAAAGCCAAAAGCAACTAAAACTGCAACCCCTCTCCATGGACTTGCATCTGAAGCAATGGAGAAACCAGCATGAGTCAGAGCGACAACCTTCTGCAAAGATACCAAAACTTCTATTTGACCATCACCACCAACAGCCATCATCTGAGCCATCTGCTCTCCCCTTGTTGGTATCTGATTCCAAGACCAAAATCAGCGGCGACCTGTCAGCAACACCTCTTCCAGATTCCAACACCAGTTAGATTTTTTATTACCCTTTTCACTTTCCCAATTCTTTTCTCGACAGAAAATTTTCCAATCCCTCCCCCGTTTGGAAAGTTTTTCCATTTGATTTTTTTATCTTTTGCGTTTCTAACTTTTATTATCTCCTCCCTTTGTTCCTTTTTTTTGTTGCTAGGAATGGGAAGCTATTTCAGCTTGGCTCAGTGGCAGGAACTGGAGTTGCAAGCTTTGATCTATAGATACATGTTGGCCGGTGCTGCTGTTCCTTCTGAACTCCTTCAACCAATCAAAAAAAGCCTTCTTTATTCTGCTACGTATTTCCTTCATCACCCCTACTCCCATTACCAGCCAGCTTGTAAGTCTCTTTCATCCTTTTTGGTACAGTTCAATCTTAACATCATCTACTTACCCTTTTCTTTAAATGCACATTAACTCCATGGATTCTTATCATTAATGTTTTTGATTTTCTCCACCCTTAGGGTTTTGTTTCACCTTAAGTTCTAAAGACTTGAACATTTTCGTTAAGATCTGATCTCTTATGATTTTGGTTTGTTCTCGAATCTTGCGTTATATTTATAGAATCTGTACTTAAATACTTCATGGCGTTCAGACTTGAGAAAACTACTATAAGCTTAAGATAAATTGGCAGTTAAATATGTTTTTCTGTGTACCTAAGAGAATACAATGAATAGTTTGAACATGTGTGATCAGTGTTGGCATCAGGGTACTGGGGAAGAGCAGAAATGGACCCGGAGCCTGGCCGGTGCCGGAGAACTGACGGTAAGAAGTGGAGGTGCTCTAGGGACGTGGTGACCGGAAAAAAGTATTGCGAGCGCCATGTGCACCGTGGCCGCAACCGTTCAAGAAAGCCTGTGGAAATGCCCACATCCAGCAGTACGGCTAATAATAATGCCACTGCTCGTTTCAGCGGTGGTGCTTACGGTGCTGGTGCTATTGGATGTGGCGCCGTCCAAGCCAGTTCTGCGATGACTACGTCACCCTTACCGGCGGTGGCAAACGGTCTCAACAATTTTTGCTTTTCAAGGCCTTCTCCTCCCATTGATCTTCTCCAGCTAAGTCATAGGTAAATCATTTTTATCTTCATATTTTTGGAATTGTTTTATATCGAATGAAAGTCTTGGAACTTTGGATTCGATAGAATCAGTTTTGTATGGCTGTGTTGATAGGTCCATGGTAGGACCCAATCAAAGATCTTATCAATTTATATAGTGAATTTCTGCATAAGCTGACCCCAACCACATCTTTTAGTTTTCAGAGTCTTTATATATGTATAAATATATGCTTGTTCTTTATGCTTGATTTTTTTCCCTACAACGTGCTTTTATGCCTGCCAGTTCCTCAGAGTCCAGAAATGAACACAAGGGTCTTTTTGAAGCCCAAACCGATGCCGATAATAGATCTGATGTTCACATTTTGAGACATTTTTTTGATGATTGGCCAAGAACACTACAGGACCCTGACAACAGTGGAGCAAATGCAAGCCCGCTGAACACCGCGAGCCTGCCAGAGAGTTTGTCGTCGGATGTGTCATTGAAGCTGGCTACAGGGAAAGGTGACCAACTAGGTACCTTGGCTGGCGGCAGGGATCATCAGCTGCAGCCACCATTGAACTGGATCATGGATGGATGGACAGCAGCACCAAACCGGGTGGCTTCCATGGGAGGACCTCTCGCGGAGGCTTTACGGTCCTCGTCGACGACTAGTACATCACCCACTAGTGTACTGCATCAGTTAACGAGGGGTTCTACATCTGAAATTAGCTATATCAGCACTTGAATTTAGTATCTGTTAATGTTATTTTTGCTTTCAACTGTTGTAGACAAGCCAAACAAATTCCTAAGTAAGTTGCTTGCTGTTTTCAGTATTACCAAACATGTATTACTCCTTTCTCCTACCTGTAAGGGTTGTTTGGTTAAAAGAATGTGTGATTCTCATGTTTGATTGGTCAGAGATCTCATTTTCGGTAATATTTTATTATCAATAGTAAATTTTTTTGGGTATATTATCGGGAATGTCATTACCTTCATTTTATTAGGTATTGTTAGATTATCGGTATTTTGGACTAAAATGTCTTTAAATTTGATTACCGGTGTTTTGAACTAAAATGTCTTTAAATTTATTTTTTCAAAAATATTTTTCTGTGATTAAATAATAAAATTTTATCAAATTTTTTTATATTTTTAATTTTGTAAAAAATATATATAAATTTTATGAATTTAATTTTTTTTTAAAAATATATAAATATTTTATAATTTGTTAAAAAAATAAATATATAATAATAAAATTTTGGTTAAATATACATTCCAATAATCTTTTATTCTTTTAACCAAACATCGTAATCTTACATTTTTTATAAACCAACCAAACATAAAATACAACATTCTCAGTAATCCTATTCTCTGGTAATCTTACATTTCCGTTGATAATCTTACATTCCGTGAACCAAACTCATCCTAAAATTTTCCTTATAAATAAATTTTGAAGCGGTCCGAGCAACAATGAAATGAGATACTGTGTTAATCGATTATGTGTTCCAATAAATATATTATGTGTTGAGCTAACCCGGCTTGTTAAGATAGTTGTGTTAAGAACAACTAATAAGATCAAGGAAAAGTATTAATCCCCCAAGTCAAAGCCCTAACATAAAAACATTTAATTTGTTCTCTCGAGACCCAACTGGTTACAAACGGTATAATCTAAGTTTTGTGTTGGTCTTAGCAAACCAAGTCTCTTAAACTAGTCAAGCTCCGTATTACCCTAACACTGTGGTACAAGGAAGCAACGCCATTGCTAATACTCGACTTTCTTTTCAAGACTCGGGATATCAACAGCCAACTTTTCATAATCAAACGCAGTTTCGACAGTCAGCACAACAACCTCATACATGGGAGAATTCTCGAATTTCATCGAAAAAAAATTTAATCAACATCATAAAAGAACACTTTCTAATGTATCCTCACTCGTAGGAAAGAAATATGAAAAAGTCCAGTGAAACAGTGGGCGTGTCTGAGTGGATATCGGGCATGACTAGAAATCATGTGGGCTCTGCCCACGCAGGTTCGATTCCTGCCTCTCACATTGTTTAAATCTGTCTTTGGTTTATTATCCCATAAAAACGATTGTATTATCTGTTTATTCAATGTTCGATTTACCCTTTTCATCTTTTTGTAATAATAATGTATTTTCGATTTCAAAAGCTTGTTGTCCGATCAAGTTAAATTTCAGGCGTGGCTTCTCCCACACCGTTGGAATCAGTAGAAAAGTGTTCCTATTCCCTTGATCTTCATCAACCTAACGACGTTTCTTGATTTGTGGATTCTAAATTCTGGTTGGTTTCAATACATTTTATCATATTTATAATGTCAAATATAAATAGTCATTATTACATTCTAAATTCCCTAAGTTTTAATACTTCCATGGGAAAAGATACTTACAATGATTAATACTATTTTTTATTGGTTTCTTATCCAATAATACCCTTTTTTTAATAATATTTTCTATAGGTACTAATTTCCAAATTTTATTGAACTATCACCTTTCTTGACAGAGAGAGAATAAGGCGTGTTTCACGAAATGCGTTTCACACACGTGGAGGGAAGACGCGTTGCTGGGGGCGTGTCTTCATTGGGTTTTGCTGAGCTGGCGCCACAGTGGGAAGGTGCATTCCCGGGGATGCTTCTTCGTCGGAATCTATTGCCACGTGAGAAGGCGCGTTGCAGGGTTCGAGCCTTCCATTAAATTTCAAAATGTCACCCAAAAATCCCGCCTAAACATTGTCCCCTATAAATACCCTCTCTTCCAACTCTCAAATCACACCTAAAATCTTATCACTCTCTCATTCTTACTACTAAATCTAGCTTTAAGCAGGTTTTGTCAGAGTTTCTAAAAGGTGAAAACCTCATTTTTAATTTTATTTTATTTATTTATATTCTATTATTTTATAATATGTTATTGTGCTAATTATTTTTTATTACTTTTTGCAGTTGTAAAATGGAAGACAGGATGCCGCGATTGGATGCAAATCATATCTTGAGTCATACTGCCGATAAAGTAACAATATTAAATTGTGTTATTTGAATTATTGTGAATATTTTATTAATTTAATTTTTTAGTATTAATTTATATTTTAATTCATAGACTATTTATTAATTAGGGAAATGATCGTATATTAAAATCTTTTATTCGTAATGATAAGATAGACATACTGCGTCCTATCTAGCTGTTTTTAGCTGATGCTAGATTTGGTTACATAGTGAAATATGAAGGAGGCTGTAAACTTGAACCCACCTTTATTTCTCCACTAATTGAGAGGTGGAGACCAGAGAAACACACATTTCATTTACAGCGTAGGGAGTGCACTATTACGTTGAAGGATGTTTCCATGCATTTGGGTAGTATATGAAGATGTTATATGTGGTGTGGCAGATGATGATTGACATTCGTTGTGCGAGGGCTATCTTGGAGGTGTCCCACTTGGGTTCAACGGTGGTTAAGTATCGTTAGCATGACTACAAACAAATTTTCAACAGTTGAGTGAAAACTGTTCCAAGGATGAAGCTAAAGCATTTGCCCGGGCATACATATTACGACTCATAGGAGGGATCTTGATGCCCGACAAATCTCGCAACTAGGTTCATTGTATGTGTAACACCCCCAACCCGAATCTGAGTCTGAGGTGTCACATTGACTTTTTAAAACATTTACTTGTATAAAATAGTGAGTAATTTAAAACTTTTATAACATATAACTTATTCAAAACGTTTACAGAACTATTCAGAGCTTATACAATTCAAATCTTTTAAATACATGCCAACTAGACTTTTATACCTTAATATACATTTAAATAATCTATTTTCTAATCTGAAACTTGGTAAGGAAAAATGCTGACCTGACTTGCACCTCAACAATCCATAAGCTTGTAAGAACTTGCGTGTGAAACACTCACACGCTAAGTCTATGACTTAGTGAGGCGAATAAATATATAATGTAAACTCTAACTTGTAATCATGCAGGAACAACTATTATTATCATATCATACACATCATATCAAATCATCTCACTTATATGCTTTTCATATAACAATTACATACATATCATCATTTATGTTTTTATCCTGCTTCTATACTATTATACTTCATATCTCTTATTTCTTATTCATATGATCTCTTACATTCATATTCTATAACTTATAACAAATTCTTATATCATCATATATAAGTCATTTATACTCACTCACATATACTTCAACATATATTCATGTAATAGATACAATAACCCATATCACACATATATCATATCATGCAATTCATATACATATATCACATACATTGATTTCACAATTATCTATTTATTAGCCCATGTACACATGTGAGAACTATAGATATGTGAGTCTATTGAGGTTGTGAACTATGCTGTCACCACAGCTCGTATAATTCCCACTAGGGGCGCGTAGAATTTGTCCCGTAGGATCACTATGTCCCGAAAGACCACATATCACATATGTCCCGAAGGACCACTATGTCCCGAAGGACCACTATGTCCCGAAGGACCACTATGTCCCCAAGGACCACATAGACCCTCGACTTTTGGCATGCCAACTATATCTCTAGCTCTCCTAACACTTACATGGGCATTCTCTTTTTATATCGTTTCACATAGTCATATCTCATATGCTCATAGCTTTTATCATATCATTTCTCATATTCATATAATAATATGATTCACTTTCAAGTATCACATATACACATTCATATCACATGTTCATATAAACTCATAACTTCTTTCACATGTACCTATAATCAGGTAGCTTCTTTTCACATAGTTCATGTCATTTTTCATATCATTCATTCATCACATACATAATCTCTATCATATATACATTTCTTCACTTATCTCATAGTTATGTATCATACATAATTTAACTTATATCATATTATCATGTGTACATATATCATGGACACTTAACGTGTATCATATAAACATTTATTCACTCATATCATTAACATATGTAACAATCAATAACATATACATAACATATCAAACATATGCTCATATTAATGAATTCATGCATTCTACTATAGGAAATAGACTTGTCAAAAGTCTTATTTCCATTAAACATAATACACTATCTAATGTGCACTCACCTTGGCCTCACTACGTTCCAATCCACTTTTATGATTTTTCCTCTCTTTCGATCGAATCTTAACTTGACAATTGACCCAGACTTGTTCGTGCTCGATATCTATATAAGCATACATTGATACATATCAGTGTCCAATTGATATACTTTAATCTATCATTTCATAAACTGAATAACGATCTATTCCATTTCCCATTAAAGTGCATCGGTACATACTACAGTGCATCGATGCATCCCTTAACAGGTGCATCGATGCACTACCCACGCATCGGTACACTATATACATTCGATGTTTTATTATTAAGGAGGTGCATCGATGCACTCCTTATGCATTTATGCACTAATTGCATTCGATGTTTCTTCTTTAAAGGGTGCATCGATACACTTTGAATGTGCATCGATACACCTTGCCCAGAAATTGCATTTTAAGCCCGAAAATCCATTTAATTCAACTCAAATGCTTCATAATTCATCCCCTTTCATATTCCTAACTTACATATACATATTTGCACTCATTTCTACTCAATAATCACTTTTTTAACCTCCATACCCTATTCTCCTTAAGAAATTCAAGAATCATACCCAAATTTTAACATGTTACAAATCCAATTCTAACATTTCATACATGTTAATTAGATTGATGACAAGTCAAAATCACTCTAAAACCTCATTAAAGAACCCTCTTTCAAGATTTCACTTATTCCTCTCTTTTCTTTAATTC